AATTTCCTTCCATATTCCGAATTATGCAATATAAAAGAGACCTTAAATATTTTTAATTAGGTTAAATTATTCCTAAGAAAGAAATCTTATTCATTCAGATATCAACATAAAAGCCAATATGAAATCGAGAAAATTCCATAATATACAAGAAAATATCATCCATTCCTGAAATTCCATATTGAAATAAATCATAATTAGAAAATATATTCCCAACAACCAACCCAAATTAAATGAAATCCCCAATAAATCAAAGACAACAAAAAGACGACGAAGAGAATCCCCAAAAAAAAGAATAAAGATTTTTTCTCAATTGAAACCGAATAAATTCATAACAAAAAGAAATTTATAATCCACCCCATATAGAAGATGTGGCGGAACCATATATGAAAAAAAAACATTAAAATTTATCCAAAATTCATCATTTTTTATTATGAAAAAAGAAATATCATTATTTTTCGGAGATGGTGATCACAAATTCAATAAGATTATAAGAAATAGAAATCTATAATTCCAGAATAGATCCTATTCTTTCATAGAATTTCTGTAGATTTCCCGCGCCCATCTACCATTCAAAATTCTTATATTCAATTCGAAGATATTCATATATTCAAAAATGATAAGGTAAAGAGAATAATCTCTTTGAATTCACCCTATATTTCTAGATATAAATATCATCTTGAAATACTCTAAGTAGTATTTTTGATCATAAGTACCATTGATATCGATATATCCTATCTGTTTAATGAGATTTGTTTCTGAAAAGGGAAAAAGAATAAAGAAATTTTTAGGATTTAGGCCAAAACCGACCAGATATGACCAAAGACCGATATTCCCCGATAGCTTGAGGACACGGCGGGGACTTTTGGAGGATTGTCTGGGGGTGGGCGCTAGGTGGCTTCTCTGAGGGGTTGGCATTCAGACACTGGGCGAGGAAGCGAGGATAATGGATGATACAAGATCTCGCAACCCCACACCGAGGGAAAAATCAACCATGCATTGCATTCGCGGCATACCTGCGTCGTGCTTGTGCAAATTTCGTGACTTTGTGTGGGGGACACACATTCGTCTCAAGCATTTCAGATTAACCGTGTTCAGACAAGAGCTTGCTCCGTCCTTTCTGTCCTTACTACACCCTCTGCTGAAAACTGAAACAATGGGTATAGTACGTCCTGAGTATCTCTAACAATTAAACCACATCTCAGGGGACGGTAAATTTTCACCTTAGGTCACCTGCCACCACCAAACGCCATCCATCGCCAAGTTGATATAGGCTCCGTCCTAAGTTTGGCCAGATGTGCATGCGAGCGCACGTGGTTGAAGCCTTGAGGATGAGACTATCAAGAACCAGTCGTGTGCCCAATGTGCACTCAGAAGCTTGCGGAGCCTAGTATTTATGCGTGTGCTCTTCCATGGGATGGGCTGCTTCCATTGCCCGCTCCCCTATTCCGCGCCTGCAAAAGCCCGAGCAGGGAACCGGTGCCCCTTGTAAGCCAAGAGGCGTTGGTCATTCTGTATTCAGATACCGCCCAAAGCAAAGGCGGATGCCTGCGCCAACTGTCACTAAGACTGTGGCTACAACAGCTAGACGCGCGCCGGCGTCTTTACGCACTGCGGCGCTTAAGAAGCTACTTACAGATTTGGATTTTTTGGGGTTGGGCACTCCCGGGAGGGAGCACAGCGGGTGAGGAGAAGAGTTGAGCGGGGACTACGCGTGACAATTACAATAAGCTAAGATTGGTGGAATCAGGGAAAGCCTCGATACCCGCTAACTCATTATAACTAGCTGGTGTTCAGACCACTTCAGGCCCATGGTCGCCTTTTGACCCACCTGAAGGATTGATGATTGGTAAGCGACAACTCCCGCACGCTCCAAGGAGCTAACTTCCGTGATGAATTGTAACACGGGTCATTTCATGGTTTCAGCACAGATCCCGGAGTCTTTGATCGCTATACTCCTGGCAACTCCGAGCAAAGCATATCCCAACAAGGCACGCAAGCAAACATCAGATACCAGTGGCAAACAACATGGGAACCTTGCGAAGCCGACCTTTCCAAAACTATGCCACAAATCATGCCTGACAGTGAAGTCATGGCCGGCGATGATTCCGCCCTTCTTCACACGCTTCTCCCACAGGTGGAGATCCTTGACATCACAGCTCTTGTCTGTTGAGGCATTTTTGCGTCGGGACTCGTGGTCGGGAGCTTGTTTGCTTGTCAATGGCTTGTCCCAGTTCGCGGCTTGGGGATTCAGAGTAGATACAGCATACAAGACAAACCCAAGCTTCCCGGCTGCTAGCTCTGCATTCGGGACCCAAGGCCTGTAATAGACATAGTTTTACGATATGCCGATCGAAGAAAGGACCTGACAAAAGTGAGGAACGTTCCGCACGTTCGCATAGGTGTGAGGACCATCGATGAAGACGATGTCCATCGGCTCTTCATCCAGCAGCCTGAGCTGGCTATTTCCATTTTGGTTGCGTCGGTGAGCCATGGCAGGTACAATGCCGGAACCGCGTATGAGAAAATGCCGAAGGAAAGCGAAGCCCGACCCCCTGCCCCTGGAAAAAGAAGACTTTGACATCGGAATACGTGCACGCCCTAACCTAAGAGTCCACAGCTACCAAACAAAGGCTTCGGGATTTGTTTGGGAAGCCGGGTTTTAGGGTTTAGGCTTTCGGGTCGGCACATCGCTTCAGCGTTTCACTCAGCAAAGATGGAGGCTCCCACAGCAAGGATCGGAATCTAAGCGAGTCAGAATCCACGTGAGCATTGCAGCATTTCCGTGCTGTCGCAGTTAAAAAAACCTTTGGCGCTGCACCACCCTAAAGCTCCATCTCCATTACAGAGAACTCTGCTTCCTGGGGCGTCAAAGGCTCAGATTCTGGAGGGTTGAGGCGTCAAGGTTCGTCTTAGCCATGTGGCGCAGCGTGCATCTCTTCGCTTGTGGTGGCGTGGAGATCTGCTCGCGCGGCATAGGGCCTGCATGTTCGTTCAGGTGTTCGGAGTTCTAGTCCTTCCTTGCAAAAAAAGCTACAGAGTCTGACACCAAAAACACCATCAACAGTCCTAATGCCATCTGAGTTCCCGACGCGTAGGCCTCGCGCACCTCCTCCTTAATGGTAGGATCGGCGCCGAAGTAGCGCAGCTGTGGGAAGCGCGCGAGCAAATGGAGGCCTCAGGCACCATGGGCAGGGCCGGGTAAGAAAGTACATAGGGTTTAGGGTTTAGGGTTAGGGTTTGGGGTTTGGGGTTTGGGGTTTGGGGTTTGGGGTTTAGGGCTTCAGGGAAGTTCAGATTCTACTGGAATTTTGTATCGGAGAACGAGAGTTGCAAGGCACAGGGAGTCCATGAAATCTGGGCATTCAGGCGAAGAAACTGGTTCAGGGTTTAGGCAAAAGGCTCCAGGGCGGATAGATACAGTACCAAAACCACTGTCCAAACGATCAGACCATGTCTATACACAATGATACACAATGCGAATCTGTGCTTACACAACTACGACTATACCTTCACAAGATGGCTAGACATGCAGATGGATATTTTGGTGCTGTCACAATTCACAGGTCTGGCCACCCATCGGCCCGCATGCGACACCCAACTCGGCCATGCGAATCTCCGCATCAGGATGACCTGCGGCAGAGACTCGCTTCAAGGTCTACTGTAGGGTTTAGGTTTTAGGGCAACAAGGGACTGCCTTTCATCCGTGTGCCATCACGTTGAGTGCGGGCTGCGGCTCAACTCTTAGAACAAACCTTTGCATAGTGCCGTTCAAGAAGAGAAGAGTAAGTTTTAACCGTTGCGAGGGCCTGAAGAGCTTCTTACTTGTCCTCGTGATTCTGCTGTTGCTGCAGGCTCTCAGGTGCAGCGATTGTCAAAAGTAGTGGCAAGTGTACCTCGCACTCCAGCATAGTTCGGCATAACTCTTGCAATGCACGATGCCCGGCTGAATAAGAACAGAAGCAAACAAAACTTAAACTTGTCTCGCCTCTGCCTCGATGTGAGGCAAGACTGAAAATAATCCAACTCGATTGTAGTGCTAACCGAAAGACGAGGATGGACCTGGATGACGCACGAGCGTCGCTTGACTTCAATTCGCACCCCCTGTAGCCTGTAGCACTTTAGACTGCAAACTTGCTATTGAGTTTCAGGTTTCGGGTTGACAGGAAACATGCCCGAAAAGGAGTGGCGCAAATGCAGACCCAGCCCCTTGGGCACCTTTCTGCTTCTCCAAACCATCCAGCAGGCGCTCGAGCACATCGAAATGCCTGCAACTGCTTCGATGCGAATGTTCGGCATGGCCCAGGGGAGGCCGAAGAAGGCCTGAAGGCCTGAAACCTTCAACGCTTGCATGCGCCAACCTTGTGAAGTACAAGGCTAGTAACCTGAGAAATTTCCCAAGTGCATGTCTACTGTTCAGTGCGGTTGAACCGTGCAGCGCACCACTGTGGAACTGAAGACTCGGCTGTGGTTGCTCGATGGTGCTTGCTGTTTCGAGAGCCATGAAGTTCAAGGTCGTGCCTGCCGTAGAACCGTGTCTGGAAGCGATACACCGGCAGCTGGCTCCTCAGTTTATTCTTGAACGCGACTGACATTTGCACACTTTGAACGACTTGTTAAGCCTATAAATGAGCTTCACGTTCCTCAGGTTTAAAGGCCCAAGGCTCTGGATGTTGGGATAGACCTCTGCCAACTCCAGCGTTAGCTGCTTGAGGCCCCAAATTGTCCGCGAGTGCTCCATAACCTGGGTCTTTCAGACAAGGTCGAGCAAGCGGCTTTGTTAATTAGAATAGGGTTTGGGCGGGTTACTTTAGTACAGGTATATAGGGACCATATGGGAATACATCATTTCGACCCCTATAGTACAAGCACCACAAGTCGACGGCATCGCTTTCTGTCCGTTGAGGAGCAACTGTCACCAATGGACACCAACCCTAAACCCTAGACCCTAAACCTTAAACCCTGAAACCCTAAACCTTAAACTCTAAACCCTAAATCCTGAACCGTTAATCTACTGGTTTCGGTGGAGCGCAGGCTCACACAGAATCAGAGATGGAGTCACCTAGAGTCCCATAAGTCTGAATTCAAACAAAAGTCAGTACAACATAATACATAACATACATTTGTGTACACATATCTATCTGCATATATATATATACACATACATACATATTGCGCATTACATATACAAATATGTCTATCACAATCCCACTTGCATGGCCTGGCGGCCTGGCGTGCCAAACGCCCGAACTCTGTGGCCAGCGCAGCTAGGGCTGCATCAGCAGCCCCTGGGGACGCCAAGGACTGAAGCTCCTCGTGATGGGGGGGGGCGGTTACGATATTCGCGGGTACCTTCTTGAGGTCCTTTTTTCGGACTTGGGGGTCTACATTAATAAGGGTCCCCTATTTTCGCAAACCCCCATGTTGCGAGAGCTCACAAACAAGCAAATCCACAGCCCCCTGCCGGTTCTTCTGCCTACCGGATCTACCTTGTTACCGTTGGGCAAGATCGTGGCATTGTTTTTTTTGGCGGACGTGTGGATAGATTGAAAGTCCCAAGTACCTCTTAAATTCAGCAGTGCTTCCGAGTGCTTAAGATATTGAATTCTGAACAGCGCTGGGCTTCAGGTTAGTATTCAGGGCTGTTGATGTCTATCGGAAAGACTTCATTAGGAAAGACTTCATTACACCCTCATTGCCCGCGAATTTCCCAGTCCCCCAGCAAGCGCCAATCCATGCCCCGTCCCTTTTCAAGGTCGACCTGATGGATGGTTTACGATATTTGGGCTACCTTATTGGGGTCCTTATTGTAGGGGATCCCACTATCTGGGGGTCTATATTCGGGGTCCCTTACTTTCGTAAACCCCCCGCTCAGCGGCCTCTGAGCTGTCCATAACCTGCAAGAGCAGCAAGAGATGCTGGTATTAACTTAAATTCTTGAAACACCCTCAAAACCGCAAAGCCCCCAACGCCGCGCTTGCCCTTTTTGAAGTTGACGTTGTCGGGCCGCCATACTGAACAGCTTGAAACAAAACCACAATCTCATCTCGAAGACAACCTCCGACTTTGCAGCACTACACCCCGTTCGGGCATTGGGGCTTGGGTCTATGCTGTACCAGGCTTCACCCAGGCTTGCACTTTCACACCACTTTCCCACTGCTTCCACCAGACTGGGATCGGGATCTGGAATGCAAGCAGGGACTTGGGGCGGAGATGGGGTTCCGCGGGGATGTCTTCAAGAATGCGTATGGCCGGTACAGGTAGACCTTTCGATCCCCTAAGCCCTCACCCCTGAATGACAACGCCAGAATCTCGTCAAACCTAAACCAAGCCCTAAACCCTAGGCCCTAAAAACCTAAACCCTAAACCCTGAACCCTAAACCCTAAACCCTAAACCCTAAACTCTAAACCCTAAACCCTAGACCCTAACTCCACCTGGTCCAGGGCCGCTTGCCCCCAGGAGGCCAGCGCCTGCGGGTGGTGGCCAGAAGAGGCTTATCGGCCTCTGGGAGCTTATACAGGGTAAACAGGAGTTATGCGGTTTAGCGTTTAGGGTTTAGGGATTAGGGTTCAGGATTAACGAAACAGCTAGGGTTTAGGAAGTTCAGGCAGGTTAGGTTTCAGCGACTGTGGTCTGACCAGCTGCGTGCTTCATGTAAACTTGTTAGTCGTGCCAAGGTATGTTGGGGAAGAGATAGGATCGGATTCTACACCCAAGAGTAGGCCAGGAATCAAAAGGGTGCCCTTTTGGGTTTAAACCCGAAACCCTAAACCCTAGGAGAACGAATTATAGCTGAGAATTTTTGCCTTGACTGAGCTGCAAGGAGATGTGAGTGTTGACTTGTGAATGCCAACCACCACTTGAGCTTGCCGCATCTACCATGCGAGCCGCAAATCCTCATAAACACACACACAGAGACTCCAAGACCCTTAATGAAGGAATATGCCTTAAATCATATTCGGGTCCCTATTACAACTTAAGGTATATTCCTGAATTAAGACTAGATGTTTTGGAGCCTCTGGGCACACACACAAAGCCATATGCAGTAGCTGAGGCCTCAGCTTCCACCCAACATTCCGACCAGTCATAGCTGGAAAGGCTTCAGGACGAGTTTGGGGTTCTCGACTCATGGCTTCAGGTACTAGGTTTAACTTGCGTATGCTGAAGTCCTCCAAATGCCCAGCTGCTATAGTTTTGCCCCCAGGCACGCCATAGACAGCCTGAGCCTTAAACATTTTACGAAGACCCTCTGGTCATCTCTGGTCCCCTGAATCCCCCTCCTGAACCAGCAGCGTGGTCTCGTTCCTGCCGATGGAGATTTCGACGGGGCCAGCGTGACCCACGCCACGCTTCGACATCTCCTTGCGAATGCGCGTCGCTAGGCTTCGATGGGGCTTCGATGGGCCTTGGGCTGAAGGGCTCAGCGGTTCCAGGGTGTTGGTTGAGTGCAAGTTGAACATCGCGCATTTTGTTGCTTCGGGGGGCAGGAACTTAGCAACAAGCAACAAGCAATTCCGGAAGTCGGGGTTTCCGATGCCATGAGCCCTTCGGAGCCGCAAAATCGGAATACCTTCAATTTGCCTTCAATCGTCACGCAGATTAGGCAACTAGGGGCTGACGTGGAGTGCTTGAGGGTTTTGGGTTTAGGGGTATATGACGCCTTTGCGCACTTCTTTTCCAGAGACTCAGCCTCAGCCGGCCGGCACATCCCAACAAACAGACGGTATTATTAATTGCAGGAGAACCTGTCTGCTCAGAGGCAGAAAGCATAGTCACGATACCCGTTGTAGATGTTACCGTGAACACGCTTCTGCCAGCGTTGGCTGCAGCATTCCTCATGAGGGTGGTGGCCGTCGAGTTCATAGTAGGCATAGTAGCCGGACTTAATGCAGCAGAATGACTCACCATGTGGGTTCGGTTTGCTGCACATGAGCTTTCGTCCACCGTAGGTGTCAGCACCGGCACATTCCGTCTGCCAGACCATTTGGAGCCTAAGGCGGTCTTGCAAGTCCAGGATTCTTTATCACACACCAAGCCTTCCTCGCAGCAGTTCGACTGTTTGTTCCACGCTACATCATAACAGTAGCACTTCTCTCCCTTCTGCGGGAGGGCTTGTGATGAAGCATTCTCCTTGTAGGACTGGTCGGAAGGCGATGCCACCAACGTCGCCTCAGCATCCTCTCGCACCCTGTGGGAGGATGCGGCCACCAGCAACAGCACGAAGAATGGAAACATTGCAAAGCGGAAAGATTGGTCAAACAAGTGTGTGGCTCAACCAGTACTCGAGCCAACTCAACAGTTCAGTTCAGGTTTCAAGTGCCTGTCAGAATCGAAGGCATCGAGGATCTAAGGAGAGGGGAGGGCTCAAGAGGCGAAGGATTCATGGGGCTCGGCGGGCTTGAGAATCATTGACGGATAAGCCGCTCCTAACATCTACACCAAATTCTACCAACAGCGCATGTCCTCCGGCACCCAACTGAATCCAAAACCCCCAAGCCTGGGCTGTGTGGTCTTGTGACGCTAAGAAAACTTTTGTGTCCTCGAAGGTCTTAGTAAACAAATGTAGTTCGGGACTTGATGTCATAGGGATGTTTCGGGCTAGCGGCGTGCAAATTCGAAGGTCAGGGTTCCAGGCAGGGCGCGGAGAGACTTGCCTTATTCTGAAGATAGTAACGTACATACCGCACCCTTCGTACCCTACACACGACCTGAAAAACTTGCACCGAGAATGATGCGCATGAAGATTGCAAAAAGCAATTACCATTACCATGGTAATGACGAAGAATCACAGGCAACTAGTTGTACCTTGCCTTCCACTTCCAGCTCCAAACATTGCAAACAGTGCTCCAAAATCCTGAAGCCCGAAAGCCCTAGGCTCAACAACGCCTGAGAACCCGAATTCTTGGGTCCTTCCATTGCCTTGCCAGCACACGCATGCCAAACTCCCGTCGCGAGGCAAGGCATGGCTTCAGCTCCTATGACTTGGGAGGACTTCTTGATCTGTGGGGTTTACGATTAGTAGGGGGTACCTTATTGGGGTCCTGAAAAGGGGATCCTACTATTTGGTGTCTATTTTAAGGGCCCCCCTATTTTCTGTAAACCCCCATGCCTGGGGCCGTGTCAGATGTCATGGGTTCGTGGATGGAGGCTACATGTGAAAACGGGCAATCAGGAGCCCATGTTGTGTATGGGTTGCACAGCATTGCGAATTGCGACTGCATGGTGTATTGCAAGTTGGTCAATGTCTACGAGTACCTGCGAGAGGTACTAGTCGAGTAACTTGGTCCAACCAGTGTCCTGCGGGGGTGAAAAAAAGACAGGGATGAAAGTACACACCCTTGCAATGAGTGCCTGTGAGTGCTTGCGGACTTTTCCCCCGAGCACCCTCCCAAAACCTAGGGACCTCTAGGAAATCTCCGATAAGAAAACTCCCAATCACTGTGGCCTCGTTCCGGCAGGAGAGAGCAGACCGCCGGGCGCCTGAAGTCAGCGATGGTTTTCTCTTCACCGTGTCTGGCTGAGGATCTTCGCACGCTTAACCACCTTCGTCCCTTTGTAGTGCTTAGCAAGTCGCCCGTGCCACATGTGACTGCGCTCATGTTGATGTCTGCAGCTTTTTTGAACTGATTGTTGGGCGTTCATCAGACCACAATGACTTGGTATGGCTGACACTTCAACCAGCGATTGCTGGACTCGCTCACACACAGGCCAGGTGAATTTGAGTGCCCGAAGAGCACGTGAGCGGATTCGATGCCAGATTTACAGGTCAGGCAGTCCGAACAGCATCAGTCAGTAACTAAAGGCTGTCTCATCTGAGCAGACCGAAACACATTGAATGACACTACTAGCATAAACGTGAGAGAAAGTTCAATGGACATCTTCGTGATTCAGCTCTTTTTGCGGCTTTCATCTTCCAGCCGACAGAGCGACCGCCTTCCGCGCTCATCCAACTCAGCTTGGGAAACCACAATCGGTTCGATCGTGACAAAAGCTCCACCCCCTGATTCCAAAACCTTGCAACAAGCATCCATGCCTTGCCAGGCCCAGACAGCAAGCAACTGGAAAGCCAGGCACTGCTCTCGGGCGTAGCGTTGGTCCTTTGGCTACAGCAACAAACTCGGGTTCGATGTTGCGTCGGGGCACCTTTGCCATCCTCACTTGGATTTGGAGTGGGGTTGACAGTATAGCTTGGAGCACGTTGAAAGAAGATGCTGTGACCACAGCTCAAGTGATTTGTTGCCGGTGTATGTGATGCTTTCAAAATGTTGATTTCCCGGTGAGCTAACGTGCTTCTATCTCCTGTAACGGCCCTACCCCTACAGGTACCACCGACATTACCAAAAAGGCTCGACTATCATCAGGCCAAGACAGAACACGCCACCCTTGGACACGGTTCGTAGCAGCGATGCGACCCTGAGCATTGCACACCTCTCCGTTCCTATGGCTTCAAAACTTACTTGTTCAATGCGCAGAGTCAAAAGCACGGCATAAGCCTAGCGCTGCTTGCGGAGTATGCTTGTGATCGATCTGCGCTCTCATCATGCTGGGCTTTTCCGCTGTTACTATCTTTGCATCAACAAACACTATCTTCGTTTCTCGGACCGCCAAAGTCGGAACCCGCCGAAATTGTTGCACAAGGCAAGAAATAGGTGCCATCGGGCCGTTCTGAGTTTCCCACGAGCCTTCTATCCAAGCAGCTTTGGGGCTGGGATCTCAGGTTTACCGGCCACAAGCAAAGCCGATGAACGACACAAGGCCGCTAGACGCGGCCAGACTGATCTAGAACCAGAAACGCTGCATCCAAGTCATCGCTCCAGCCCTAAGATCCTTTGGCTGTCCCCTGGCCCGCAACCATCCAAATGAGAGCTTTCTGAATGGAATAGAGCAGCACTAAACCCTAAACCCTAAACCCTAAACCCTAAACCCTAAATCCTAATCCCCAATCCCTAAACCCTAAACCCTAAACGGCGATTAGCATGCCAGGCCTGCTCCGCACTGCGGAAGCGAAGGTAATCCTCAGGAGCAGCTGCGAGGCTCCAGGCCTCCGCAAAAAGACGGTCAAAGCTACCTAGGATTTAGGGTTCAGGGTTTAGGGTAGGCAGCGACTTTCTAGACAAAAGCAAGGTGCTCTTCGCGTGGTATTCGCCTGAATGATGTTGTCTAAAGGCAAGAGCAAGAAGGTGGCAACCCAGGTGGACTTCAAAAACAAGCTGCCGGGCATCCGAAAGAAACCACGCAGCTCCGAAAGCAAGATCCTACCCCTGAAGACAGATAGCCCTTCTCGCCGACTCTTGCTCTTTACACTCAGCTGGCAAGTGCTTTCGGACCCAAAAACTACTTCAAAGCAACCCTAAACCCTAAGCCCTAAATCCTCAACCCTAAACCCTAAACGGCCCTAAACCCGAGACCCTACAGTGAAACCTTACCTGGCGCTGGATGTCCACCGGGAACATCAGGTGAGCATCGCAGACCTCGCGCTTTCGTGGCTTTCAGGCACGTTGTACAGTGCACCCAGAGCTCAACCAGCTGAAAATGAACCAGCCTACCCCAACAAAGAAACTCCTGAGTTCTGTACACGGGTTTAGGGTTTAGGGTTAGGGTTTAGGGCAAATTTCGTGAATGGTTCGAAGTTTGGGATTCCACACTTGGTCGAGCCGGCCTCGGGGGCAGCGAGCCAAGCTTCGACGGCTTCGCTGGTGGCCTCGTGCAAGCAGCTGCAATCAGGTTCTTCAACCCTAAACCCTAAACCCTAAACCCTAAACCCTAATTCTGAAGCCTAAACCCTAAACCCTAAAGGTTGGAACTGCCGTGTTGCTGCGTTGCAGGGCCAGTCGTTACACCATTCCCTGAGCAACAGTCCCTAAACATGCATGGAGCTCCGGCAAGCACAGCGCTGTGCTGCGGCCACACACCTTGCACCCAAAACTCTAGCCGGCCCGCAGGAAACCTCAAAAATGATAAACCCCCTCAGCCAAGAACTCAACACGTCAAACCTGCACACAAATATGCTCGCACAATGCCCCAGGGCGTTTGTGTGACACAGACTTGTCTGCGATGCGAGCTCTGTGGGTCATGCCGTTCACACATGGATGCTATTCCCATGCGTCGCAACTGCCTTCTGCAGATCGATGTGCCCTTTTGCCGAGCCACCACCTGGGTAACAGGCGCTGAAGATTTTGCAGCGGGGGTTCATATGCCCGCTCCTTTGAAAAAGGGTGAAGACAAGGGGAACTTTGCAAGCGCAGTCTGGATCCTATGGCCGAAGCCCCATGACCACCAGCAGCGTTTCCGAAGCAGTCATGCGCACATGCGCGACAACGACAACGACACCGGCAATTACAATGACAACGACAACACACAGTGAACAACCAACAACATGTTGGCAACAAACGAACAGCAATAGCAGCAGCAACAACAACGACGACGACGAGGACGATTACGAGGATGAGGCAGCAGCAGCAACAGCAACAGCAGCAACATCAGCAACAGCAGCAACCACAGTGACCACGACGATGGCAGCCGCAACCACAAACATGGTGATCAGTGGCTATAGTAGCACTACGTAATGCGCAAGCCGCTGCTAGCTATTGCTAATGCTCTCATGCTACTACGGATAATCAAGAGTAACCCTACAAGAGCATTCCTGCATCCCCACTGCCAGTCTCTTCAGCCCCAACCCACAAACTTGCTGAATCCCTTCCCCTCCAGGCCGCGGTCCAAGGACAAATCGGCGAGGGCATCGTAGCAGGCAAGGCAGTCTCCGAGGCAGTGGAGGGAGCCCTGCGGGCCACCGGTTCAGGGAAGCTGTCGTCTGAAGCCCGAAGCCGCATCACTCGAAAATTCCCCTAGGGTTCTTTGTTACATCGACCATCATAAGCTCACAATCCTTGGGTCCTGTATCATGTAGGGGCCTCAATAATTAGAATAGGGTTTTGGTTATGATAGTATAATTACAAAGGGACCATATGGAATACTATGTAGTATGTTTCGGCCCGTCGCACAGCGATTCTTTGCCTCGCGCTGGCCAAGGAAAGACCTGAGCACCGGACGCTGAAAAACCGCGCTGATTGACCGGAAGCTTCCCGACGTGCACGTTTTGCAGGCCCTCTTGGTCAATGATCATCTTTTAGATACGCATGCTTGTTTCAAGGTTTCAAGTAGAGGTCCCAACCTTAGAGGTCTCTGGAAAGGCTCAAAAACGCTCACATGCCGCGCCAGGATTGAGGATTCTGATGCGGCCTTCAGGACTGATACTATTGAGGGTGTAACTCTTGTGGCATTGGGGAGTCATGGCAGCCCCGAAACAAGAAAGAAGCGAAGACTGAACTGTCTGTACTGCGGGATGTGCATCTGCTCGCCAGCCTAGAACACAACTGCCTACACCTGAGGAACCAACTCTTACAACTTGGCAGCCATCAAAGCACGCCAAGCTAGTGTACAGATACTGGCTTGCAAGAACACCCAAGTCGCGACCACTGTCGCCAAAACCTAGGCCATGGCCTCTAGACTCCTATTTCGACCTGAAGTGTGCCCTGAAAGGACCCTGAAACTCGCCACATCTGCGTAGCAACCATAACTCAGCAAACGCTGCCTGCTCCACTGACTGGGTACCTCACATCCCCGGAAACTTCAACGAACTCATTCCGAAACCTTCAAGCACAAATACGCTGAAGGCTTTGGAGACGCTGTCCGACCCCTAGATTCTACCAGGGCTCGGCTCCTCAGCACAGACGGTGGTCCCAAAAAGCAGCGCGGAGGCCGCCAGCAGAGGCGCCGCACCCATGGCTGTTTAGGGCTTAGGGTTTAGGGGTTAGGGTTTAGGGTTCAGGGTTTAGGGCTTAGGGTTTGGCCGAAAACGCAGCGTCGAAATCTACGAGTATATGAGCGATTCACAGCCGCCTCGATCCTATTGGGTAGTTGATCTCAAACTTTGCGAGCAACGAGTGTGGGTCAACCTCACCTGCATTTCACCCTCTTCTTTGAGCAGCAGCAGCTACAGAAGCAGACGAAGTCACAATTGTCTTGCTTTGCACTTCAAGCCTAGCTGGTAAGACCGCGAGAAACTGCGCAATAACCCCAAACTGTTTGGGGTCCCTTGCTTGGCGCCGATTCCTGTCGGTTTTTTTGGCTGGAGCTTATGCGAAACAAGGGCTTGAGGCCGCTCCAACTTCAATGCCACCTCCAGACTCCAAAACAGTTTTTGGGTTCAAGGGCTGAGGGTTCAGGGTTTAGGGTTTAGGGTTTTTCGGGTGCATTGTCCAGTATCTCAGGTCGTTGCCGCGAACCCCTTAACCCTTCCTGGTTGGGCATGGTCAGGCAAACTCCATGTTCGGACTAAGCTGCCAGTTCCTCAATCCAAAAAAGTTCAAACTTCGTACTGTTATTGACTAAACTTCAATCGCTTGGTTTAGGGTTTAGGGTTTAGGGGCTTAAACATCCGAAGTCCTGAGCTTCCTATAGGCCGTGACCCCAAGCAATAGACAACTCACCACTCTGCAGTTCTTTCGTTCAGCAGCTTGCGAACGACGGTGGTGCTTCCGCGTAATGCGCTGTGGTCGCCGAGGATCCCCTTCTGAAAGCTGGAAAACTAAAGAAGGCACCAAACTAGTTTAGGGTTTTAGGGTTTTAGGGTTTAGGGTTTGATTCTCTTTCACCTCCAGCATCCTGGAAGATGCAGCCCAGAGAATAACACATGACACTGGTCTAACTTTCCGTAGGCGCCTCGGAAAGCTTGCAGCTCTTGAAGAGCCAAGAAAAGCAAGAGGAAAACGATGGGTGCTCGAATGTCGCGACGCTACTGTCTGCATCGTCAGCTTTGGCTCAAGTACTTCAAAGTGTTGGAAACGGCTAAGTGGGACGAACGCCGAGTTCTCTTGACAGCCAGCACCTCGCGACATGCCGAACTCAAAAGCGAAACGACTTCTGGATTGCAGGTGCGAGCCGAAGAACCGGCTCCTCAGTCGCACTGCGCCCATGCCTGCACTTCGGGTTCCTAATCGGGAAGAGGATTTTGGGGAATTGAACCTCAAATTGTGCACTGAAGCCCATCTCCACCACAGGTTCCGAGAAAGGCAAGAGCAGGTAGCAAGTTTCTTTACCTGGGCCGTGGCTCACCTAGATCGGCCAGCGCGAGGTTTTGGTATGGTTAGAAGAGAAGCACAAGCCTTGGAGCTAAAGCTCCATTCCCTACGGCCTGCACCCCGACATGCGTGCTCCTTTTTTTTTCAGGCCGGAGTGTAGCGGACAGTGCTCCGACAGGAACGTGAACTTTTGGAAGTCTGCTCCAAGCTTGCAGTTCTCCAGGGAAACTTGATGGACCGGAACTGATGCACGCATGGCCTCATTCTGATTCACAAACCCTAAACCCTAAACCCTAAACCCTAAACCCTAAACCCTAAACCCTAAACCCTAAACCCTAAACCCTAAACCCTAAACCCTAAACCACACAGAGCTTATGCATGTCTCATGTAGGGCCGAGTGCTTACGGCCGCACGCGCCCCAGACACAGTGGAAGCCAGGGTTGGAACGGTTTAGGGTTTAGGGTTTAGGGTTTGAGAGAGAGAGAGGGAGGGAGAGAGAGAGAGAGAGAGCTAGCTTGTGGCATATCGCTCCGCCGAGCCGCATGCTAAGCCTCATTCCCATTCCTCCAACCCCCGAAAACCCAAAGCATGCATGTGTCGCAACAGGCCACAAGCTTCAGAGTGGCCTTTCACCCCTCAAAACAGAATTCAAATCTCGCCGCCAACCGCAACCACTCCCCCGTAGAGCCTGTGAAACCTGCTCACCAGCTCGCAATGCACATCTACCTGACACTATGGGCTCTTGTCATGTAAGGAGGTTCGGGCCATGGACTCTGCAAGGCCTTGAAGGCAAAACATCAAGGGACGACAGGACAGTGTCAGTATCCGGGCTTCTGTGCAGAGGTTGCGTGTTTCATGTTTCAGGAGCTAAACACACCTCCTGCTGAGTGTACGGTGTCTGTGCATTAACGCGGCCATGTGGGGGGGGAGAGGGTTTTAGAAGTGCATCAACTTCAAGCCGGGGGCAGCCACTCACAAAAGCAAGCTGGATCCTTAAGCTAAAAACCTTGCAGGGCCCCAGCCATAAACAACAACTGTGCATCCTTCAAACTCCTCCAAACCAAACAAACCCAGAAACCATGCCCTTCACCTTCATAAGCCCCCTCAATCCAAATTCCGGTGCGCCCTTTTCCTGGTGACACCGGCCGTAGGCTGTGAAGTTACAGCCACCCGAACCCGCAAGTTGCTGCCCAAGCTTCTTGTTGTTCAAGGCTGCAACACCTGCGGACTGTTCAGCTTCGACACAAACTGCTCAAGGCACCATACGGCAGATATGCTTAAAACTGCCCACATCTATGCCCTGTGTTGCAACATCCGCGTCTTGCATGCACTTCGTCCACGGGTTGCTATTACTCCTCAAACAGGGCAGCTTTGTGCGGCTCTATCGTTCGAAGCAAGGGCCTAGTTGACGCGACCGCACGCATCTCTTGCACATGTGGTCAGCCCATTCCGCCATGAAAGTATACAACCGAACAAAGCTTGAACTGATAAATTCACGCGCTATGCACTCTTCTAGATATGTTTCTGTTGTTACTGGTAGACAATATAGGCGCAACTGATGTTGCTGTCTCGCTCTTGCTGCTTTCACTACCAGCTTCAATTGGAATTGGCAATGGTGTTTCAGTTGCGGTTGTTGTGAACATAATGAAACATTCACGAAGCAAGGGTCCTGCTGAAGAGGACACACAAGCAGCAACTTGCAGGGTGTTTTCGGACACATCAGTGCGAATACAGCACGGCAATGCTGGGTGGTCATGACAGTGGCGGCGACAAAGCATCAGATAAGACAAGGACGATACAGACATTCTGCACTAATTGAGAACTTGAGCACTCTATTGCAATCTGTTGCACTGCTGCCAAAACATACAACATAAGGCGTCCAGCCTAGGATGCCCCTTAAAACCCCTCTGAAAAATATTCTTGAGTATGATCCTCTTAAACCCAACAAGGGAAAATTATAAACTGTCCCGAGGGCCTACGGACTAAGCCAAGCCAAAAAATGTCTCAATTAGGGTCCCCCCGCTCCTGCCACCACCACAAGTGGCAAAGAAATCAAAGGAAATGGTACATTCCCCCCGTCCCCACCCCCCCGTCCCCACCCCCCCGCCCCCCACCCCCACTCGCCCTCCCCCCCCCCCGCCCCCCCCAACAAATTTTCCTATCGGAGTGCGTCAACCCCCAGCCTAAAAGACCCAGACCTGAACCCCCAACAGCCGGAACGTGAACTCGGAGCAAGCTGCCTGGAAGCTCCTTGCCCTCCAGGAGCTCGAGGGAAGCACCACCACCGGTGCTGCAGTGGGTGACCTGCTTTGTCAAAGTCACAGCTTTCCCTTCGGATCGGGTTTAGGGTTTAGGGTTTAGGGTTTAGAGTTTAGGGTTTAGGGCACAAGGTGTCTCAGCGATGGGTGCAAGGTTCCATTGATTCAGGTTCATACTTGGCATGGGGTGCGGTGTGCCAGAGGGGCGGGCTGTTACACCGTTCGACGGGACACCGGCTTCCGAGGCGGCCTGTGATCTTGAACAAGTTTAGCCGTTCGGTTTAGGGTTTAGGGTTTAGGGTTTAAGGTTTAGGGTTTAGGGTAATTTAGGGTTTAGGGTTTAGGGTTTAGGGTTTAGGGTTTAGGGTTTAGGGTTTAGGGTTTGCACGACAAGTGCATACACATGGATTTGGGATGCGCAGCTCGAGCGTCGAGACCGCTCTTACCTCACGAGTCTGTTCTGTTCCCAACCTGGACACCCCCAATCCAATACTACACAAGCCCGGATCTCCAGACGGCGTACAGGGTTTAGGGTTTAGGGTTTAGGGTTTAGCAGCCTTGTCTTCAGTACCGTACTTTTTGCAGGCTGTCGCAGTGTCGCCACCGCCAATGACCTGAAACCGGTGATGTTCGGTGATGTTCAAGGAGTTCAAGGCTTCATTCTCGCACCCAAATCATGATGCTAGAGATCCATTGATTCGCTCAAGTGCTTGAGGGGCACTTTTCAAGCTTTGACCAGGAAATTGACCTACGACTGCCGATGGCACTCTCGACATCCATGCTCCCGGAGACGATGGCAGACGTGGCCCACACATACCCGCCCACACATACCCACACTAAATTTATGAGCGCAGTTTGGGTCTCGTTCACAAACTTTACACCTTGTCAGAAGGCCCCTAAACATCCCCGAATACAACTCGATTCGCCGAATCTCGCCGATGAATCCATCCATGCGGCTGTGATAACGCCGGCGGCTGTCGCCTCGACGACGGCGTCCATCAGTTTCTTGGTGCCTTGTGCTGGATCCAGGCGTTTAAGGAATCCAAGTGCCCACACAATGCAACGTATTCCACTCGCTGCACCTCCCCCTGAGCGGCTGAAGCGATTCAGAAATGTTCGGAGTCTACAGCTACATCTTAACAGGAGCCTTCATGACAAGGAGTGCGGGTTTGTGAGACAATCCACCGAGGCCTCGGGCCGAAGGTGCCCCAAAACCCTTTTTCCCACCCCGTTTTTTGCCTCACATGGGTTCTCCTCCCTTCCCCCTTCCTCCCCCCCCCCCCCCCCAACTATAGGATATTCGTGCACCGGGCGCAGGCCGAGGCGGGTCGCGTAGCGTTAAAATTATGCTTTATGGACAAGTTTGGGTTCTTTTGAGAGGTGATATTCTTGAGACATACCGTAAGCAAAATGAACAGGTGCTTGCGAGGCGATGTATTCGTGAGTATTGTCACAAGGTTAACGAGGTCAAGACGGCATGGCCACATGAAAGCGTGAGAGTCGTAAACCATGCCAGTTGCAGTTGCTGCAGGTTTGGAGCTTGCAGGTACAGCACGTGGAAGTGACCAAAAACATGCGTTTTTGTACAGCCACAGAAAGCCACAAGAGGGGAGAGAATGTAAGGAGACTTTTGGAAAAGAGCTCCTGTACAAGAACACAGTTTTCTGCCTGTCGAACACTTCGCTCGTGAAGACATGAACCCAAAACAGCAACACGACGGACCCGCACCGCGAAATATGCAGAGACTTCGTATGGATGCTGGGCCCTACGAGGCCTGCTTGGCGAACACAAGCCTGACATCCCCAACTTCTGACCAGAACTGACCCCAACATGCCTGAATGTCCAGGGCTGTTGGAAACGCTCCAATTTCACAAGCTTTGTGGACTTTAGAACCGGTTTGGCTGGAACCCCCAAACTAGAAATAGTGTTGAAACTGGACAGTTCGAGCCTTTAACCCTGAGCTTCAAAGACATTCCGAAACACCACACCCCTCAACCTAGATGTCTGGTGGTTGCTTCTTTCGACATTTGCTCCTTTCGGGCTGGGATGCCAATCTCGAACTTGGACATCTCGAAGACGCCCATGGGGCCGTTCCAGATGATGGTCTTGGATTCTGCCACGGCCTCGACAACTTCAACAATTAGATAACACCACTGATGCAAACACAGGCAACACAATTCACCGGCAACAACAGCAGCAACAGCAACCCCCACCACCAACACTACAACGACAGATGTAAACCACCAGCAGCTTTACTTGGCAAAGAGCTGGGTATGGCCGTCCTGAGAAACCTGCTGCCCGCGTCATGATACGGTTCGGCGGTGTATTCGCCGGCGTGGAGAGGCCTAGAGCAGTGAGTAGTGGCCGCCGTATTGCGCCGTTTTCCGGTGCAGTCACCGGCCTGAGATGCCCGCCGGCCGCTAAACGGCCACCGATGTTTTGCGTAATGGCCGGTACATGGCCGCTCTCTGTCCTCTCTTTCCTGTCCTTCTAGCTCTTCTCGTATCTGTCCTCTCATCTGTCCTGTCTCCTTTCCTGCTATCTCTCCTCATATCTTGCATACCTGTCCTCGTTCCTGTCCTATCTCCTGTCATGTCCTCCTATCTCGCTGAGTGGAGACGACCAAGAGAGAGAGAGAGAGAGAGAGAGAGAGAGAGAGAAGAGAGAGAGAGAGAGAGACAGAAGAGAGAGAGAGAGAGAGAGAAGAGAGAGAGAAGAGAGAGAGAAGAGAGAGAGAAGAGAGAGAGAAGAGAGAGAAGAGAGAGAAGAGAGAGAGAAGAGAGAGAGAAGAGAGAGAGAGAGAACAGAGAGAGAAGAGAGCGAGAGAGAGCGAGAGAGAGAGAGAGAGAGAGAGAGAGAAGAGAGAGAAGAGAGAGAAGAGAGGGGGGAGAGAGAGGAGAGAGAGAAGAGAGGGGGGAGAGAGAGGAGAGAGAGGAGAGAGAGGAGAGAGAGGAGAGAGAGGAGAGAGAGGAGAGAGAGGAGAGAGAGGAGAAAGAGGAGAGAGACGAGAGAGACGAGAGAGACGAGAGAGACGAGAGAGACGAGACGAGAGAGAAGACAGAGAGAGAGAGCGAGAAAAGTGTGATGTCTCCGAGAGGATGGAGGAAGGGAGAGGCAGCAACTCGGGCGGTGAGGGCCCAAAATTCAAAAGGGCTAAATCAACAACCACCACCAACAACAGCAGCGGCAACAGCGGCAGCAACAGAAACAAAAAGGACAAAACCAGCAACAACAAGAAGAACAATTACAACAAGGAACGCAACAACAACAATCACAAAGGTAACAGACAAGAACAAACAATGCCTTGGCAACTATTTGAACAATCAGTAACAGTTAAACACAAATCATGTTGACATTAAATACTCTTTTTAACTGTTTCATGTGTTCATCTAATATCTTGGAACCCCTCTGGCCTTGGCGTTCAGCTCGACCGACTTAGGGCCGCAGTCCAGGCCCATGAAGCCTCAGCGATTCCAAGACCCTAAACCCTAAACTTTACCCTAAACCCTAAACCCTAAACCCTAAACCCTAAACCCTAAGCATGGCTCATGGCTCTGCGATTTTGGGGCTCACGATCTTAGGGGTACCCTATTGGGTCCTTATTGCAAGGGGATCCTACTATTTTAGGGGTATATTCAGGGTCCCTTACGAGTATAATCGTAAGCCCCCCTTTTGGTCTTCAGGAGGAGGCTAGGGCATCTGCGCAACCAAGTACTAGTAGCCATGGAAGGACGAAACCAACAAAGCATTTTTTGCTACATCCTCTTCGTGGTGAACCTTTGTGTTGCTTCAGAACCTGCGTGCAATTCATCCCGGCTTTGGCTGTTCACTCAGCTGCAGCCATTTGGTTGTATTTTCACCCGTGTGGCGAGAAACTTTCGGAGTTGCAATCTAAACTTAGTGAACTTTGTTCAGGAAACCTTTAGCCATAAGCAGTGCAAGCACAGATCTATAGTTGAACACCGGTGAAACAGCCTTAAGCATGGCTTTGCTTGGCTTCAGCCCGTGGCTGAGGTGGCTGGGGCAGAGGGCTGTTCATTAACTCCATGTCCATTCCGCCTACACGAGGAGCCACAGAGCACTTCGTGTCAGAAATTCCTATGACCCATCTCCTGTCAGGCTTCCTTGCAGACATTGCTGCTTACAGCTGGGTTCGAGTCAGCAGCTACTTGCAGCAAGCTCTTCCAACTCCTCCACAGTACTGGAAGAGTAGTCAATTCCGACCCATTGCGAGATCTGACAGCTTCTGCAAGCAAATTAACACCTCAAGTACTTCTTGAATGAAGGCTCCATGATGTGCCTGCTGCTAGGAAATCACTGAGGCGAGATCAAGCACCATAAACGACATAAACAACAAGTCGGACGAAGATGGTCATGCTGTACTATGTAGGATTTGTCGAGCACGTCGCACGAGCCCTCGTGAAACACTTCAGTATCCGCCCAGTGGTCTACGCAGGTGTGGCAATCTTCAGTAGTATTTCGCACATGGTCGAGCTCAGGATGTGATGCAGCCCAGTTGCCATCCGGAATGCCCTCTTCCTTCGTCACACCTGCGAGTATTAGGGCTTGCGATCTTGACTCTTTTGAGAAGGGCTTCGCAGCCAGCCTTTTGGGGGGCGTTTAGGGCAGAGACCCTTGTGCAGGTTGGTGCTTTAGGATTCAGGCATGGGCCCTACACGCACAACAAAATACCATCAGCATTTGTTTGTCCATTTGAAACCTTTATCGTGTCTGTCTTTTTCCTTATAAAAGATTCCTGAATGTAGAGCACAGTCAGTTTACACACACACACACAGAGCGCGATCTTATCTTCTCATGCTCCAGCCATATCCCTTATAGTAGGCCCAGGGTTCAAGGGTTTCCAGCCTTCCTTGATGTCACCATCCTCGCCAAACTTGGAGGAGCATGTGAAGTCAACGGGGAGGATGATCTCCACTCCTGGACTAATATTGAGGGTTTCCGAATTAAGGGTACCTTATTGGGGGTCCTCACTTTAAGGTCGCTGATTATCGTAAACCCCCAAATCGCAGAGGGGAGGCAGGGGATCTGAAACTTTCGGATTGAGGATCAGACTGCTTGCCCTGGCTCTTAACTGCCGTTTTTTCGAACGCTTTCCTGCGCCCTTCAGCTGCGAGTTCTAGAGGCAGAAAGATTCAAATCCCCCCCCCCCCCCCAACCATATCACAGAATTGGGTCATCTGGATCGATGCAGGATGCTTTCCCTTGCCAAACCTCGACTTTGGCATTTCGTTCGGGCTTAGACTGCAAAGGCCCTTTCGTGCAGCTTCGCATGTGACGACCATCTGAAAGTTGAAGGGTGCTCGTCAACAACACCTTCAGGCATCAGAGCCAGTGCTCCGAGATGATTCTGTCAAGCCACCGAGCTTCTCTGCCTTTGCCAGGATCTCAGGGACGATCTTGGCACCTGCTGCGGATTTTTTTCACGCGAATGCATCATGCTGTTTCGGCCAGTGCTCAGGCAACTAGTTTCCTGGCTTTCTCGTGACCACCATGACCACGCTTACTGTGAAACATACGAGTGGGGTTCAGGGTTTGGGGGGGAGAGGGGGATGGGGCAAGGGGGCAAGGGGGGGAGCGGCGAACCGCCCAAAGAGGGAGGGTCTCAGAGGATTCTTAACGTTCAATTGGGGGTGGCGGGACAGCGGGGATCGAGAACGCGGGGCCTGGGAACAAAAAAACACAGGCTCCCGATACAAGAAACCTTGAGACAACCAGCCGACATCAGGGTTTAGGGTTTAGGGTTTAAGGTTTAGGGTTTAGGGTAACAACTCGCGCAATCGTCTTGGTCTTGGCCCCAGGGGTAAACCCCATTCACATGCATGGAGCCGCTACAAGTAACATCCAGCATCAAGTAACATCCATGAACCCAGTTAACCCATTCGCTTTTCAACTATGAATGGGCTAATCCGTCAACCCATCAAGCCATTAGCCCAATATTCTGGGCCCTATAGGTATAAGTTAGGCCCGTAACTCTCTAATGCATGAACCATTCACCCCTTAACCCAATCCAATCGTGTCGGCCCAATGGTGAACGGGCTAACGGATTAACCGTAATCCATTCAAAGAGCTCAAAGAGCCCCGGAAGCCTTATGATTGGGGCTGTTTATGGTCCAATCTAGGGTTTCGGGTTCACTACTCAGGGAGCTCGGTTTTCCGGCACCTTCCTCGTCATACAGGGAGGTTCCGATGGCCATGCTGTCCTTGACCTTCAGGAATGTATAGGCCATGCCGCCGCCAATGATCATCTTGTTCACCTTTTGGGCTGGTTGAATTCCAGGTTTGCACTGAGTCGGTTCTGGAGGTTGCTTCGGGCTTGCAAGGATTGAAGGGCTCGGGGCTTGCAGAGTTTGGCAGCGTATAGATGGCTTTGTGGCAGAAGCTTTACAAACACCTGTCGAACATGTGGGTGGTTGTCACAATTGTGGTCCCTTTTTGGATCCCTAACATAATGCGGCACCTAATATTTCGCGTACCCCAAAAGGGTGCGTGGCAGCAGCACCCGCACCTTGTCAAGCATGTTCATGATCAGCTGGATTTTGTCGCTGACCTGCACTGCACGCAATCTGCCTCATGAGGCTTTCTGGACGCTTGATTTGAAGATTGAACCCTAAACCCTAAACCCTAAACCCTAAACCCTAAACCCTAAACCCTATTATAAACCCCAAACCCTAAACCCTAAACCCTAAACCCTAAACGGTAGAGGAACAACATACTTCTAGTCTTCTGTGACGGATGATCCTGCCCGAGCTCTCGCCCCGCAGGATCAAGGAAAGAAAAAGGTCCTGCCAGTAACCTGTTGCTTCCTTCACCTACACTTAGGGTTTAGGGTTTAGGGTTTAGGGTTTAGGGTTTAGGGTTTAGGGTTTAGGGTTTAGGGTTTAGGGTTTAGGGTTTAGGGTTTGAGCAAGCTTGTGGGTTCGTAGCCCTTAAGGCGTAAGTGGGGATGAGTTTGGGAGAGCTCAAGAATCGAGCTCCGACACCCTTGTCTCCACAAGCTCCTGCCATCCTAAACCCTCAATTTGCTGTAGACTTTAGGGATCGTAAGGTTTGGGACCTCGCGCTTCGGATTTCCCAAACTCTAAGCAAGTAGCATCTCAGCACGATGAATGGACGTCTGCATGAAGCTTGTGGCTCAACAAGCGGAGCAAGTGGAGACCCAAATAAAGGACGTGAGAGAGGTGAAGGCCAAAAAGAACAAATCTAAACTGAGTGCGGCTCCGCTAAGCTCCGCCCTAAACCCTAAACCCTAAACCCCAAACCCCAAACCCCAAACCCGAAACCCTAAACCCCAAACCCCAAACCCTAAACCCCTTCACCGGCCTTCGCCCCACCCAGAATGGCCAACACTGGCTTGGCAGGGTTGTCGAGAACCTTGGCAAAGGCCTCCAACTCCTTCGGGTATGAACTGCGCCATCTGTCAAGTTGTGCGGTCTCCTGCCCCCTCAATTCGATCTTGGGGGCCGTTCTGGTGTGTGTGTGTGTGTGTGTGTGGGTGGGTGGGTGGATGGGTGTGCTTGTGTGCTTGTGTGCTTGTGCGCTTGTGCGCTTGTGCGCTTGTGCGCTTGTGCGCTTGTGCGCTTGTGTGTGTGTGTGCGTTTGTTTTTGTGTTTTTTTGTGTGTTTGGGTGCACGTGGGTGCACGTGGGTGCGCGTGGGCGCGCGCACGTGCGCGCACGTGCGTCGGCCGCTGGGCTGGGTTGGTTCGGATACTTCTCCCTTGGTGTCAGAAGCCCAAGTCCGAAGCGTCCCCAAGCCCTAAACGCCAACCCCTCAACCCTAAACCCTAAACCCTAAATCCTAAACCCTAAACCCTAAACAGGTTGAACCGCAAGCTGAGAAAAACCCAAGCAGCAACTCTCCCCCAACCTGTCCTTGCCCATAAGGTCACCTGCGCACTTCACCTCGAAGCCTTCTCCCACCTTGGTTGAGTTTAGGGTTTAGGGTTTAGGGTTTAGGGTTTAGGGTTTAGGGTTTAGGGTTTAGGGTTTAGGGTTTAGGGTTTAGGGTTTAGGGTTTAGGGTTTAGGGTTTAGGGTTTAGGGTTTAGGGTTTAGGGTTTAGGGTTTAGGCTAAACCCTAAACCCTAAACCCTAACCCTAAACCCTAAACCCTAAACCCTAAACCCTAAACCCTAAACCCTAAACCCTAAACCCTAAACCCTAAACCCTAAACCCTAAACCCTAAACCCTAAACCCAATCCCAGGCGACTTGTTGTTTCCGGGTACTTGGTGAAGGAAGCTTCTTCCCTCAATCCTGCTTAGACAGTCGCAACAAGGAAAGGTTTTACCAGTCAGGAACAGTCACCATGGAGCTGTGAGCTCGATGGGCTGTACCGAAGGCGTCGTTGCAGTAGATGTCCGCAAGTTTCCTGCCCGGACCCAGGGTTAAAGTCTTCGGGTGCCAGGCATTGCTTGGCCTCAGCTTCTGCAGCACACTTTTCTCACCTCCCTTAGCCTGAAGCTGTGTTTTGCATACAACACATTTTATCACCCCAAACCCTAAACCCTAAACCCTAAACCCTAAACGAGACTTGCCCCAGTTCGGAGGGCGGCTTCAAGAGACGCAACGAGCTTACGAGCTTTGCGGAACACAATGACGTACTGATGTTGTTGGGATCTATAGGCTGGCTTTTTATAAGCAAATCCTGAGACATACACCCCCAAACTCCCCCCCAGGGTTTAGGGTTTAGGGTTTAGGGCTTAGGGTTTAGGGCAACCCCCCCTTGCCCCCAACTCAAGGGGAAGATGTCCTGATGGATGCCCGGAAGGCAGCGACCTTCTCCTTGTCGGCCTTGATCTTGTTGCCCTGCAAACGCTAAGGGCTCAGGGGGATGTGCAAAAAAAAACATTGCTTGGGCCTGGAATTCCAGTGACCCTGCAACCCGGAGATCATGTGCGAGGTAGTTTGGTCAATTCTGGAAGAAGGTTGTAAACATCTAGATTTATTGAACTTGGTGCTCTGTTCTTGCAATCTCTGTGATCACTCACACACATCATGCATCATTGCAGTTTCTAGCCGGCAGCTAGACTCACGAGTTCGCAGCCCAAGCTTGCCATGGCTACTAATCCCAAGCCGGGTGCAACGAACCGCGGCTGGATGATCGCCAACTAACGCAAATCAGATGCGCTAGCAGGCACCAAGTTGTGCTTACCTTCGCAAGCCGGTTTGCGCAGCAAAGAATTGAAGTCAATGCGCAAGGTCTGAAGCACAAAAGTCAACTACGCGCTTGTCAGCATCTGCCCAGAAACTGCGGCTCCTGTTTCGACCCGCAAGCTTCCTTTGAAATGACTTTTGCCTTGCTAGTTGCTTTGCTGTCGTCACCCTGACCAAACTGCACATCCTTGCGTTGAGTGAATTTGGACTTGCTCCTTTTCCGCTCGGCCTTGGAAAATGTCTCTTTTTGTTTATTTTTGAGAACAAATGGAGACGCCAATGCTGCTTCGATCGGCTCGGTTCTGAGGTAGTAGCAGAGCAAGATGACACACTTTTTAATCCATGCTTTTCTCTGGCTCATGGTTGGCTGTCTGAGCTGTTATTTGACAAGAATGCCACGGCACTGTCTTTCTTGAGGGTGATGAGCTTCTTGCGTGCCCCACCCTAATTTTGCTGGTGAGGTCGTTTTGTCATCTTCTGCTTTTGCGTTGCAAATGTCCTACAGCCACCTTGAGTTCAACACTGCCCTGCCTTGGACAGGGCTCAAGCCAGTCAACGAAGGACGGACAAGTCCTACATCCGCATGGCCACCGTTGAATCCGAGCTTTCGTTCTCACAACTTATTCCAAACTCAATCGTGCATAAACCCTAAACCCTAAACCCGAAACCCTAAACCCAAAACCCTAAACCCAAACATGACTGCGCGCACGCACCGCGCTGCGCACACGCAAGAGAGTGCTCGGCATGGAACAAACTGAAGCCCACCTCGGGGTCAACTCCCTTGCCCTCCTCCTCGACATGAAACCGAAGGTTCCTGAATGTGGCACTTGCAGGTAGGTTTAGGGTTTAGGGTTTGGGGTTTATAGGGTTATAGGGTTATAGGCTTTAGGGTTTAGGGTTTCGGGTTTAGGGTTCAGAGCTAGTCTCGCCGGACGCCTCAAGCGAAGGCTGCTTTCCGCTTTGGGTCTTGTGCTAGCCAGGCAGTGTATCGGCAGACCAATCATCAGGAGCCATGCCCAAGACCCTCAAAGTGCCTTAAACTTTAAAGCCTAAACCCTAAACCCTAAACCCTAATTAAACCCTAAACCCTAAACCCTAAACCCTAAACCCCAAACCCTAAACCCTAAACCCTAAACCCCCCCTGGTGCCCAAGCGGCTCGAGCAGGATGACGCTGCCAGCTGCGGGGTCTGCGCAGGTGGCCTCCACCTCGGCCCTGGGCTTCAAAGTTTCGTAGGGTTTTGGGGATGCTTAGGGTTTAGGGTTTAGGGTTTAGGGTTTAATTAGGGTTTAGGATCAGGGTTTGGGGTTTAGGGTTTAGGGTTTAGGGTTTAGGGTTTAGGGTTTAGGGTTTAGGGTTTTGGGGATGCCTAGGGCTTAGGCCTGTTTGGATTTAGGGGGGTTAACTCGTGTCCGTAGAGACTCTAAGAGACTCTCTGGGACTTCGGTGGCCTGGGAGGGCTTCATGGGCCTCATGCTGGGCTGGGTCTTGCGGGTTTAGGGTTTAGGGTTTAGGGTTTAGGGTTTAGGGTAATTGAGGTGTGTGGATCTGTGAATACTGATGCCAGCTTTCTTTTGAAGTGCAGGCTGGGGTTTTGATCCTGCAACTCCGCGAAGGAGCAACGAGGCAGACATGCTTCCGCACTCAGGTGCCCACCCGACGCAGTCAGTGCAGAAAGTGACCTCAGGCACAGCAAGCCCACATATCAGCACCTATCCCCGATCCTCTTCAGCAAGGCTACAGGGGATGGGAAGTGCTTTCTGAACAACAAGCAGCAAGCAGACTTGCTGTACTCTTGAATACCTCAGAGCGGACTAACGCCTGAAAGTGTATTGCCAACCAGAGAAGCACAGTGCGTGCCCAATGTGCTGTGAGATCCGAAGAAATTAGCTAGTCTCGTCGGGTATGGGTCGCCATTTGCAAAGCTAGGCTTCACAGGATGTACGGCTGGAGGCGTCAACAGAACAAAGGGCCTTCCAGCCAGGAACACCCTCCCCATAGAGCTCTCTTCTTCGTTCTTCGGTGAGCCGACCAAGTCCCCGGAGCGGAAAGCTCAAGAGTCTTCATTCAGTCAAACCCTCTGACGACTAACGACAAACGCCCAGAGGTTTTCATGTAAAGTCTCAACGCTCAGCAGGGTGTCACACTGAATCAAGAGAGGCTGCGTGTAACATGTACACCAAGAAAGCGATCAGCAACGAACCATCCAACAGATGCCCTGAGCCCACGGCTGGCTTACCAAGCTTTTCCTCCAAGATCTTGGCCACCGGCGCCAGGGAGTACTTGGAAACGACCTGGGGGGGGCCCTAAGCCCTAAACCCTAAGCCCTAAACCCTAAAACCTAAACCCTGGCTGAGCTGTGACAACTGCGGCTAGCGGCAGCTCTCTGGCTGAAGTTGTCTGGACTTGCTTCCTCTCGAAACGGTGCCCCCAGCCCTCCCCAGATCTCCCCAGTGTGCCCTCAGCCCATCACGGAGCCATCGGGGCGGCCCAGATGCGAGGCCAGGACCACAGACTTGGCGCCCTTCTCCAGCACCTGTTTAGGGTTTAGGGTTTAGGGTTTGGGGTTTAGGGTTTAGGCTCTTTCTTGGCAGACTGGCGCTCCTTTGAACAGTGGGTGAGTTACTGCAGGCTGGCGGGTCTGTAGCTGGAAGTGTCTGGGGTGCAAAGCTATGAGGCTATCCTGGATATCCTCCTCAGCTCCAAGTCGCAGATACAGAGACCCTGCAAGGCCGGAAGCCCTCGAAAAGTCTGGGGTGTGCGGCCTTCTTGATGGTCGGCAGGGCCCCATCAATGCGCTGAGTGTTCGTGATCTTGGTGGGGTCGGCCTTGTCCTGCGAGCTTTTGGCGCTTAGACCATGCTCACCAGGATTATTTTCTAGAACTTGGCGTGTGGAGCGATCTCTGAAACCTCGCCCTACTTCGGGCTGGGCGCTTTGAGGGCCACTCTGCCCAGGACCCTTGCTCTTGTATCGGTCAGCGCCGGCTCGCACAGGCTTGGTCAAAGCACCAAACTCTGCTATCGCAGGTTTCCGAAATTAAACTTATATCTGTATGATGCAGTCCCCTTATATTGGCGTGCCCACACAGGAACCATATTTTGGCACAACCCTGCTTTCACCCCCTAAACCCTAAACCCTAAACCCTAAACTCTAAACCCTAAACCCTAAACTCTAAAACCTAAACCCTAACCGTAAACGCTAACCCCTAAACCCTAAACCCTAAACCCCAAACCCTAAACCCTTAGGGCCATCCTGGGGCACGTTGAAGTCCACCCTCATGAAGACTCGCTTTCCAGCGACATCCACGTCGTTGATGCTGATCTTGGCGGGCATGGCGGCAGCTTTGGGAAGTAAACTAACACAGGCGTCTCTGAGCCAAAATGCTTGACAATAAGTGGCGGATTGTAAGCACTTAGGGGCTGTAAGAGCGAAGTTCGCTGAGATGTTGTTGGGAAGGCTGCGTGTTGCCGCGCTGCTTGGCTTAGGGGTCTTCTTCTTGAGCCGGCTGCCTCTGTACGTACCTTGAGGAGCCTTTGGCTCTACATGCCCCCAGTCGCGAGACTCTTTACGCAGCTAGCACCGGCTGCCAGCTGCTGCGAAGGATTCAACCCGCGCAGTTCTCTTTGGCATCTTGACATGTTGAACATCTTGTCAACAGCCAATGCCGGTGTATGGACGGCTTTCAGAAGTCTTGACTGTTTTGGGCAAGGCGTTGCAGCATCGCAGGCTACCTTCGAAATCGCAGCTCCTCAAGAACCGTTTGTCAAGCCCCACCTGTCAAGCTCTTCGGGAATCCGCAAGCCGAAGCCCCGAACCGTGGGAGTGTCTGCGAGCCCTGTCACTGTCTCAGCCCTTTCTGACACGCCGCGGGGTCAAGGGTTCAATGTTCAGGGCCTAACTGCCTGTTGCATGCTGGTTGCAGAGTTCAGACTATTGGCCGGTAGTTGCGAATCTCGGCGGGGCGCTTGGGGACAAGGTTTCCATGGTACACGAACAGCTACCTGGCAAGAGCGCCTTCCACTGCAATCTTACACAAGATCCAGCGACCTGTTTCTCAGCCGGTCAAGGCTTATATGTATATATATATATATATATATACATAGTTGAATTTCGAAACTGACAAGGCTCAGTTGAGTAGTTCACGTTAGTTAGGCTCTGTAGGGCCACGGAGCGCAGCAGCTTTTTTGCATCACAGGTTCGTGGTGCTTCCGCTCTGCGGTCAAGAGTCTGCGGTCAATGTTTCTCTGAAAGCTTGCAAAGGCACAGGGATGCATGTAAGGCTTCTATCAGAAGTCTGTGCACCATGATGCTGGTCGAAGTGGTGCCCCTGGAAGCTTGCAAAGGAAGTCAAAGGCTGCAAGCGAAAAAGCCAAAAAACGATGGATGCTCGGATGTCACGTACCTGCGAAACTACGCGAGGATTCTACGAGGTCGCACCCTCATATGACCCCTACATGGGCTTCAACCAGCATAGCGTTGGGCTACCGGCTTGCAGGGATCGTCACAGTCGCAACGTGCTGAGCTTGGGAGGCCAAACGATTACTCGTTGGGCTGAAAATCGTGGCTCCTCACTTGAGTGACGGTGGCAAGCCTGTGCTGATTCTGAAGCCCTAAGACGGCTTTAGGCCACAAACAACACCGTGAATCTTGCGGGCCCTAAAAGCCTCAAGCCCTCGGTATGGCTTGTGCTTGCGTAGGGTTGGGCCCGAGTCGTTCGTGTCGTTTCGGCGGCAGAGCTAGAGGCTGAAGAAGAGGGGCAAAGTCCCGTGTCCGCTACGTGGCAGCAAGAAGACATGCAACAAGGCAACTTAAAGTACTACTCCCCGAAGGTCCCCCCCACTCCACTGGATGCCATCACATCTCAATGGATACGCGTTGCCATCAAGCTTCTCTGGCTCCTGCAAGCTCTCCTTTACACGGCCCAGGCCGAACCGAGTGTGCACTGTGCGGTAGGATCTGGTCTGCCCTACATGCCCAGCAACAAACCCGGAACCCCTAAAGGACTCATGACTATGGGCCTGCGGCAGCAGCTCGCAATGCATCTACCTTATGAGATTTCAGATTCGGTAAGATCTCAGGGTGGTGGTGGTTCCGATAAGGCTCTTTGGTTTGGTTCATCTCGTTTATTGATATCCTCCATTGTTAGGGCGGGAGGGAGGGGTCTAACAAAGTCTTAAGCATTCAGCTATCTGGAGCCGACTGCCGGCTGCAGGCACAGCTAAGGGTTCCATAAGGATGCGATGCTACAAATCATGAGGTGACATGCTTAAGGTATGGGTGATGTTATGAACTGAGGGACAATCAAAACATACAGGTAATCAGCTGCAAATATTTGTTCTACCTGGCCGGCACTGTCAGCAACGTTAATTTCAGTGTTGACGACCTTCAACATGACATCAATTCGAGCATCTCGAGTCTGGCCGCTTTGCGCATGAAGAATGTCAAACGAAAGGGGCGAGATAGCGAGGACGAAAGAGCGAGCGAGAGCTTCAACAAACCAAATCGGCGCAGCGAAGCTCTATAAGCCGCCAACGCTCCCCTCAATTCTACAGCAATGTCTGGTTCCTGTCGGCTTTTAGAGATCTTCCGGTCCCTCCCGAAGGCCGAACGCAATGTATCTCCAAGCTGCTTCGCGTTCAGGGCTGCAACACCTGCACAAAGAATGGAATTGAAGCCGGGAAATCGCTGCTTCCCAGTATACGCAACCGGCATGACATTGCTACAAGCTTCTACTGCTGGCATTTGTCGGGCTTGATTGCCGGAAAGGGTTCATCGAGCGTCGTGAGGACGAGAGGCAACTGAGAATCTTCGAAGCAAAATCGGCTTAGCAGCTTCAAAGTGCAAAGGGAGGAGGAGTGGAAGCTGTTGGTCTTGTTGTAGCCCAAAGAGGCTCGCGAGGGGGCCACACTGCATAGGCTTCTAGGGCACCAGACTTTCGCTGATCTTGGAGAGAGTGGACCCCTAAACCCTAAACCCTAAACCCTAAACCCTAAACCCTAAACCCTAAACCCTAAACCCTAAACCCTAAACCCTAAACCCTAAACCCTAAACCCTAAACCCTAAACCTAAACCCTCCCGTGGGATACTCGGAAACTCGGGCCTGGCAGCTCTTTGCCCTCCAGGAGCTCAAGCGAGGCGCCCCCACCGGTGCTGCAGTGGGTGACCTGCTTCGGGGGGAGCCAGGGGGGGGGCTGTTGGGAGGGGGGGGGGGGGGAATATCGCGAAGTAGAGACTAAAGAATGTCCTCAAGCTGTTTTGGAGCAGCTCTAAGCCTGACCCGAAAATCCCCCCAAAACAAGTTTGCCCCCAAAATCTCAAAGACAACAACAGCACTCCACCCGCAAACGCTTGAACCTGAGCACCTTACCAGTATCTGATTCCCTGCCCACCTTGTCCTCGGTGCCATACTTTTTGCATGCGGTGGCGGTGTCACCACCGCCAATGACCTGGTTTTCGTCCGTGTTCGGTACAGGTACAAGTTCGGTATGTGGTGTTGTAACTACTCAACCAAGTAGTCAGGACATTACCAGTAACCTGTATACTATAGAAGGCAGACTGCAGCGAGCAGACCAATGCTAACAAGTCTTTCGTTCTGGTTCGCATGGTGCCATAGTCTTTTTTTATCTCCCAAAACCCTAGACAAACCGAAAAGGCAGAGGCCAGTTCATAGTTCTAACCGATAAGCAGCTTCATTCCCACGGCCTCCTACGATGCAGACCCTAAACCCTAAACCCCATACTCATTGCCATGAACTTAGGACCTGGATGCACCCACAAGCATAAACATCCCCGTTGGCTCAGCCGAGTGGCAGTGATTACGCCTGCACCCGTCGCCTCGACCACGGCGTCCATGAGCTTCTTGGTGCCTTAGGGTTTCGGGTTTAGGGTTTAGAGTTTAGGGTTTAGGGTTTACGTACGAACTGAGAGAAACAGCTACGGGTAAACATCAGTGACCAATTCAGAGGCAGCAATGGCGTTTGCGCGATGCGTTGCAGGGCTTAAGCGCGAAGTGTTGCCAAGGCCACATTTTGGATCATCACCCCATGATCCTGAAACAGCTACTGAACACGACTCTCTGTTTTCAAGAGGCCATTTGGTTACGACAACCATCAGTAGAGGCAGGTGTGAATTAACCTTTCAGGAAGCCTTGCCCTTCACCCAACAGTGTGTCCCTGCCCACTACTTGCTGATTGAGATTGTCAGGTTAACCTTTTTCTGAAGGCCACACGTGCTTCTACGAGAACTTCGGCAGGGATACCGATCTCGAACTTGGACATCTCGAACACGCCCATCGGGCCGTTCCAGATGATGGTCTTGGACTCTGCCACAGCCTCAACTCTCGGATTTCAAGTTATTGCTTGGCTTTTGGGATCCGAGAGCTTGAAAGAGCACCATCCTCATACGTCTGTCCAACTGTACCACTGTGCCACTGGAAGTGGCCTCAGTGAACGATGATCCCACTTCCCCCGACCGTAGCAGCTTGAGGCGTCTCTCTTCATGTTTGCATGCAAAGCAAGTTCACCATTCAAGAGCCACCACAGTAGACAATGTGTTGTTGGCTCTTGGCCAGAACGCCAGGAACCGCTAACCCTCATCCCGAGGCCCTACAAGTTTAACGCTTCTGGTAAGTTGATGAACCCGCCTACGTCCAGGCCTTGGCATTCAGCTCGATGGACTTGGGGCCACAATCAAGGCCCATGAAGCCTTGATGATTTGTACTGACAATGCTGGGAGCGCAGTGGAGATGGTCTAGACATGCTACACTCCGACCCGAAGCTGAAATCCCGCACCTCGCACACGAAAAAAGGCCGTGATACACTGGGGCTCACAGCTTTCAGGGCCTTCATTCGTGTGGACTTAGTTTCAACCCCATGTCGGTTGTTTTGATTGCTTTTCCTTTTGGTAGTGCCATTCTTGATATTTCTTGTGCTGCTGCTGCTGCTGCTGCTGCTGCTGCTGCTGCTGCTGCTGCTGCTGCTGCTGCTGCTGCTGCTGCTGCTGCTGCTTCTGCGGCTTCTGCGGCTGCTGCGGCTGCTGTGGCTGCTGCGGCTGCTGCGGCTGCTGCTGCGGCTGCTGCTGCGGCTTCTGTTGCTGCTGTCGCTGCTGTCGCTGTTGATTCCGGTAGGTGTGCTTCTGTTCTCCACTGTGAGGCATGACGCAATATTGACATGTGAGCAGTGCGGGCACCTCTGGACTGTGAATTGCCCCATCACCTCTTTGACAGGTTTACGATGTGGTAAAGGATTGGTCAGGGGGCTGCTTAAGAGTACCAGATGAAGGGTGTTGTTAACTCCTGCAGTCTCAAAGCGTTCCTGCTGAGCATGTGCACCGCAACAGTTCGGCCCAAGCACCGTCCGGGATGCCCTCCTCCTTGGTCACACCTGCGAGTCAAACGTCGTAGCTGCATTTACCCTTAGCTCCCGGAATGTGCAAACTTGCCACTATGCTTGTCTTGCTACTACGACTGGTTTCCTACTATTACTACTACGCTTATTTCCCATACGCTTGCAGTCGAGAAGTCGACTTGCCAGATGCCGGAGCTCTAGACGTTCTCGCACACCCCAGTGAAGTACACTCACGAGGCTGGACCGGGAAACGCCGTACAAACCGAGAAGGTTGCCACTGTCGACCTCTGATGTCCAATAATGACGATTCGACCTCCGTGGGGATTCCTAACATGCCTGATGTGTTTTGAGACGCGACAACGAAGCGAGGAATCGAATGACTGGTTTCGAGCAAGGCGATGACTGACGCGCTGGGCACGTCAAAAGAGTTACCACTGAACCCAAGGTAGCATTTAACCGAGTTACAACCGATGAAACCAAAAGGCTAGACCTCGCCCCCGGCGAAAAAAAGTACGGCAGCTACATTGCATGCAGCAAAGTCCCTCAAGAATCAACTTCAAAAGCATCACCAACAAGTCGCCCCGTAGCACAACCCATCGCAACGCTTTTGGGGTAAGTATGCATACTACTGTGTACTGTTGTCATGATCATGAAGCGCCGTCCGGAGAACTTGAGTCAGGGTTTGGGCTCGGCTCGTTCTAGGAATTAGTTCCTTTGGGTTTTCGAGGTCATCCGCCTTCCTTGATCTCTCCGTCCTCACCAAACTTGGACGAGCAGGTGAAGTCAACTGGCAGGATGATCTCCACTCCTGGACTAATATTTGGGGTTTCCGAAATTAGGGCTACCTCGTTGGGGTCCTTCTTGAAAGGGAATCCTGCGATTTGGGGGTCTTTCTTAGGGGTCCCTTATTAAAGTAATAGGGAAAGGCGAGGCCTGGCTCATGAGCTAAACACAGCCGTGAATTTGATCAAGCTGCTAGCGGAAGACCCCCTGAACAAAGTCCAATTATTATGCGACCCCTAGATACTATTCCTGTACAAGGACAAATACCTCTTCACATGATCACGCTAGGTCGGGTCTGCACATACCATGTCGCCATGCAGCAACGTGACTCACAGGACTTTCGAACCCCCAGGCTACTTCTGCGAGTGCTACTGGGACCTCCTTGTGACACATCTGCAAGTCTAAGTGTTCCACAAACTCAGATACCCCTCAAGCTGCCATAACGCCTCCCAGGCCCAAAATCATAATAATCATGCTCAATCTCGAGCACCCTGGATCTGCCAAGGCTCCGAGCTTCTCGGCCTTAGCAATGATCTCGGGGACGATCTTGGCGCCTGGTGGGGCCACGAGGGTCGTTCAGTACTTTTGGACCTTGAGGGTCACGGTTTTTGGACTTTTGCATGTCCGCCTCATTGTCTCCGGGCTGTGTGCGTGTTGTTGGCAAGATATGGGAGAGCTCTCGGCGCCGACAGGGCTTGGGGGATCAGGGTTTCGTCTTTTGGGGCTCCAGGATTTGGGATGCGGGCGGAGGGGCTTGAAGTGCGAAAGCCTGCTCATGGCGTTTCTTCCAGATAGAACAGTAGCAGCACCATGCAGCACCCTGAAACCAGAGGTGGAGAGCAATTTCGCCAGAAACACCGAGCCGTTGCATGCCTTGAACTGGAAGATGTGACCGCAACAAACTACGATGAGAAATTAACCAGCTTCTCGCGCAGGCCTTCCTCATCGTAGAGGGAGGATCCGATGGCCATGCTGTCCTTGACCTTGAGGAAAGTGTATGCCATGCCGCCGCCGACAATCATCTTGTTCACCTTGGAATTGGGGTGGGCTAGGCCGTGATGGCAGAGAGGATTTGGGCACGAGGACGTCCAAGCTTCGCGGGTTTAGTATCCGAGACTTGCAACGAGTCCGGCCACTCACTTTTCTCTGGCCTTACCTGAGCACCAGCCACGGCATTGTAAGGACTGACAAGCTGCATCAGCGTTGACACGCTACTATGACACCTTCTACAAACAGAGCTCTGTGCTCTCGCGTCGTCGCCCATAATCGCCCATAACCAGCACACAAGGGCACCTTGTCCAGCATGTTCATAATCAACTGGATCTTGTCGCTGACCTGCACTACTTGTGATACCGAACTTGGCCTACACTGTCTCACGCCCCGAGCCAAAGGGCCTCCCTCAAGTCCTCTGAAGATACGTTTCAACGAAGTTCCGAAATCTGTTCGTGCACTCTTGGCCTTTGCTCCACCGAGGATGGCCAAGACAGGCTTGGCGGGCTCGTCCAGGACCTTGGCGAAAGCCTCCAGCTCCTGCCAGGTATGTCCGGCTACAGGGTCGAACTCTTAGGTTCTTGGCTTTCCAGACTGCACACGAGCCCGCCTTGAGTGTTCTTGAGGGTTGAGGGTATTGTTCTTGCACAGTAGCGGTAGCAATACCAGCGGCCGTAGCAGTACCAACAGCAGCAGTAGCAGTACCAGTTGCGATAGCAGCACATGTTGCAAAAGAAAAGTAGTAGTAGTAGTAGTAGTAGTAGTAGTAGTAGTAGTAGTAGTAGTAGTAGTAGTAGTAGTAGTAGTAGTAGTAGTAGTAGTAGTAGTAGTAGTAGTAGTAGTAGTAGTAGTAGTAGTAGTAGTAGTAGTAGTAGTAGTAGTAGTAGTAGTAGTAGTAGTAGTAGTAGTAGTAGTAGTAGTAGTATGTGAAGTCGACCAGGACTGGACTTGCACTAAGCCAATGCAATCACAGCCCGGTCACGCTGTTTTACGACTTCGCGAGTTCAAGCACTTGTGCAGCTACGCCTGAGTGCGTCCGGTCGGACCGCACAGCAACCTAAGAGCTACTGTACGAAACTACCGTGCTCAAAGGCACAAGCTCGGTACTTGAGCCAAAACATTGGCATTGTTACGAATTGCAAAACTACACATGCAAGGGAAAACAACACGCTGCACTAGCACTAAGCAAGCACTCCATGCATGCTTTGACCTGCTCACATTCGCCCCTCAGCCGAGGCTTCCGGCTCACCAAGAGCTCATAGTGCGTCAAGCACTTCAGCAACGCGGCCAATGGGGTAGGGCGAGGGTGTCGCGTGCGACCCTGGTAGAGCCCGCACATCATGAGCATTGGCATGCGGCTTGGGCGGCAGCCCGCACTACCAAACGGACGCACGACGACAGCAGCCCTCTACGACCCTAAACCACCCCAAGTCGCGAGCGCTCACCTTTGTGCAGGCAGGCGAGGCTCCAGAGTACTGGGCAGGTCTTTGTGCTGCTAGTGCAAAGCTATGGTACAAATGGTACACTGTACACACTACCGGCCCTAAGCTACGGCTACGGCTACTCACCTATCCAGAACTACCCTACGGGCTACCGGACTCAGCGAGAGCCGCGCACATTGCTTGTGCCGCAGCCAGTGCAACTCGCACGCGCTTCGGCGAGCGCACTGCCGCGACCAGGACACGGTCCGCAGCACCTGCAAAAGAGCGCCCTCGACAAGAGGGGCCACAGGCAGGGCGGAGAAGAAAAGTGCGGGGAATGCAAAATGGGCAGGCTTCCAACCTGCCGCGGCTTTTCGCCCGCAGTCACGCAAAAGAAAGTGCAAAAGGTTGGCGATGCAACGTGCCGTGCTGCAACGCCTGCTCTGATAGTGCGTGGATGCATACCACGCCGCGCCAACTGGCCGCAGCCTACTCGATACCCTGCGGAGCAGTCTTGGGGGCACGAGTGGCGTTGCCAGCAACGTTGGAGCTACTGGCTCGCTCCAACTGAGGGCGCTTCGCAACCGCCTCATCGAGGGAGAATGCCTCAGCCGACACCCTCTGGAAATCCTCGACGTAGGACTGCGCGACAGGGTGCGTCTTGGGGACCTCAAGCTTAAGCCCTGCCTCCGCATTGGCTTTGCTGCTTGTGGTAAAATTGAGGCTCCCAATCAGCACCACCGCGCCGTCAGGCCGCAGTAGGCAAAGGGCCTTGGCGTGGTGCAGTCCTTGAATCCCGGTGCCTACCTTAGCCCCGCGGCCGTCGCGGGCATAGGCGTCGCGCAAGGATGTGCCGCAACCCACCTTCACCTCGGCACCTGCGGCCGCCAAGCGTTTCAACGCTTGCCACTGAAGCTCGGTGCGGTGGCATTGTCCCATGTCGGCGACAATCCGAACGCTTGCGCCTTTGCCAAGCGACGCTTCGATTGCCTCGATGCAGGATGGGCAATCTAAGCTGTAAGCCCGGATGTAGATCACATCCTCTGCTGCTCCAGACCCAAGCAGCGTTTGGGCGGCCTGAATGTATGGCCCGCCCGCAAGGAATTCCGCTTCTTTGACTGGAGAACTCCTAGCGGGGGCTGGGCCCTTGTTCCTCCGGCTGGGTGTGCGCGCCACGGTGGCAGTGGCGGCACGTTGCACGGAGCCGGACTGTGCGTGGGCTGCGCTCGCTCCATCTGCTGGGGCCGCGGCCAGGTCACGACCCGCGAGCCCCTGAAAGCAGGAGAGCCCGCGGCTCTTGGCCGCGAGTTGGGAGAAACACCCTTCACTGTTCCCCAAACCCAACACCACCCTACCCTTAGCTAGGGCATCGGAGGCGGTACTCCGAATGGAGTCTGTAAGCGCAGGACCCGCGCCTCGCTGGGCCGCGTGCAAAAACCCTAAGGAACGAGCGGTGTCCATTGCGGCATCGCAATGCCCGCAGCGTCCTTCTGCCAGGTAAGCACGACAGCCACAGGCAGCTGTCTCCTCCTTGAGATGCACCCAAACCTTATGGGTCACCCCTTTCTTGGTGCTCGCGACCTCAAACGTCGCTTCGGAGCCAAGGAGCTGAGACAGCCGCGCCTCAGGGGCCGCGGTGTTGCCATGTCGCAAATGCGCAATGCGATTGGCAACGGCACGACTCACGTACCACAGCACAGCACCGCACAAGATCACTACCACGAGAGTGATGGCTGTTCCGGCGACCCACACGGTCCGCCTGGCCCCATGGCCGATTTCCTCAACAACGTCGGCCGAAACCGTTGCAACCGCGTGCATGGAGTCCTCGACAACATGCACGACCCCGCGGTGCAACTGCAAGGCAATCGGCGCCGACGCTGCAGCCGCCAGGCCCCACCAGCCGTTGATGTTCCCGTTGAGGGCGTGCATCAACCGATTGAGGAGCCCGCGACCCAGGAAAAAGGGGGTCCGCGGCGGAAGCGGAACACTCGGCGGCGGCCGGGCCGACCCGCACGGGAAAGCTGGGACCCAGCTGGTGCTTGGGCGGGGTTGGAGCACGGCAACAATGCCCGCGGCGAAAGCGCCCCAGGCGTACTTGCCCCTCCCCTTGGGCTTGCCCTTCCCTGAGTCTCCAGAATACGTGAATTCAGGTTTCGGTTGGATTTACGTAAATGGAGTTTTTTAGTTACGAAAAACCTAAATTTCCGACTAAACGTAAATTTTCTCCGAACACCAAAACTTCATAAAAAACGCGTCAAAACTTCATAAAAAACGCGTCAAAACTTCATACAAAATGCTTAATGAATTTTGTGCCAAAAAACTGAAATACTTTCGAAAACATGAAACTTCATGACAAAATGCTTACCTGCGAGGATTTTTTCCAACCTTAAACCACTTTTTCTCAGGGCTGTTCCAAACGAGAAAGAGCCGAACTTGCTTGCGATGAAAGTGTATCGTTTTACATGTGAGACTCTGTGGGTATTGTTTTCTGCGAGGCTTGTTGTGCATGTGAGAGGTTCAGTTTTTCTTGCGGTGTATATCGGCCCCAGCCTGCCATTGCTACAGCTTCACTTGTCTCGCCAGAGCCACACCATGGAAAGCGGTCGGCGAGATCGCAGTCGTTCACCCAGGCAGATGAATCTTGGAGCTGACATGGAAAAAATTTTCGTGAGTCATAGATCTATGAATACACAATAGAGCGGTTTACTTGTGTGCAGTCTAGACGTGTGTAACAGAAAGGAAGTGGGTGTGGTGCTGGAAAAAGTGGGAGGATCCGCTGACTGGCTTGGTCATCTGGCAACTTAGCTTGAAAAAGATAAAAAGAGATGTATAATATACATATATATATATATATGTTCTTTTTTACATGAGAGCTGGATGACAACAAAGGTACTGGGTTTGGTTCAAGCGGGTGCCCGACGAGCAGTGATGCACAGCTGTGCGGCTTTTTTGTGCATGTTTTGCCCACCACGGGCATCAAAATAAGAGATCTGTCAGTCGCCCCTGTGCTCTATGTACAAAAGCACAGCCTTTATACTGGCAGCACTTGGCAAGCTTCGTCCGCCGTCGTGAGTAAAAAGTGGGAACATGCCTAAACCCTAAGCCATAAACCCTAAACCCTATAAACCTTAAACCCTAAACCCTAAACCCTAAACCCTATATTACTTGCGAGACAGAACTACTTGCGAGACAGAATTACTTGCGAGACAGAAACTACGGACTCATTTGTTTGTGTGTTTACTTGTGATAACATTCGTTTACTTGCGAGACAACACTCAGGATATAACTACGGACTATAATTTGCTTGTGAGTTTCCTGTGAGACAATATAATCGCTTTCCCCAGGTCCAAAACAAGGCATGATCACATCGAAGTACTTTTTTGTCTCTCTGACACTTTATATGTAAATATGAGAGGCACAGAACTCGCAAAGTAAAACGTCTCTCATCAACCGGCTAGCTCTTTCTCCGTTTTGGGGCATGGGCCGGCTCTCTCTCACATAGAAACCTCACATGTAAACAACAGGAACAATTTTTTTTGGCCCTCGCACAGACAAAAGTTCACCCGACCTTGCCCCTCAGCCACAGAAGGTGCCGCTCCTTGAGGGCAGCCTTCCTGGCGACCTGCCAATGCTTGACACCAGGCAGGCAACTCTTCCAAAGGGTCTGAACCCGATGCATGGTGGACTCGCCCTTGAAGCACCAGACCATTGCTGGATGAATGCAGCCACTGAGCGACAGGCTGTGCAAAGCAAAGTGTGTCTTGCTTGTGAGGTTAAATAAGTGCCTCCCTGCAGCTTTGTAGTGCTGCTGCAAGCTGATGTGGAGCTGTGCCATCTGCAGGCCGCAGAGCAGAGCCTGCCGTGCTTCCTGCTCAGGCAAAGCCAGGTACCCATGCCTTGGCGAAAACGTGTCTAACTTCTCAGACAAACGACAATTCAAACGGAGAAAGAGCAGAATCTGCTTGTGCTGGTAGTTCTCTTCGTCCATCTCCTGCTGAAAAAATGCTAGAAGGGCAGTGTCCAAGCTTTGCACATCCGATGCCCTGCCACGAATCTTTGGGAAACCTTTCTTGGGCTGTATCATCGTAAGTTTGAGGAGCTTTTGCTTGAACTTGTATC